CTGATCTTTTACATCAGTGAGTCATGATGACCTGCCAAGAGGAACAAGATGTAGCTAATATGCTAGGGCCTTAGTTAGATGTCTGTACTCCAAAAGGACTTGCAATTTTAATAAGAATTTTAGGAAGAGATCTAAAAGAAAGATATCAAGGCAGTTCCTCAAAAGTAAATGAAAGAAAAAAAAACAGAAAAAGAAAAAAATATGACTTCCACATTACTATAACCTACTACAATCAAAGAGATGTAACATCTAACTGGATACAAAGGGATCACGGGTCCGGAACCTCCTGTCATGTACTATGTATTGTTAGACTCACTTAGTCATGAAGTTAGCAGGGGCCCACCTACTATATATATATATGTGTGTGTGTATATATATATATATATATATATATAATATTATATATATGTGTGTGTATAGCTAGAATCAAACCTAAGTGGGCTCTGAGGCCATGAATAAACTACATGAGCAGATATGCTAGACTTCTGTGTCACCTAAACTAATTGTACTACTGGGTGCTCTCGACTCACCATTTGTAGAGAGGTTCCCAAGCCATTAAAAGAAAGAAGTCAAATTTTGGTTCATCACCTGATTGACTTGATAGGTAAAAGCTAAAAACATAGACACTTAATTCTGGGTACGTATTTGACTTTTTGCCTTCAGCTTCAGATGCCAGTGTATAAATTTTCTGACTGCCTGACACACAGGAACAGAATGCTACAAAGATATTACCCAGTCAGAGGTTGTACTTCATAGTGAAGAATTTATAGGAGGCTTGATTGATTATTTTTGGCACTCAATCTGAAGTGGTGTAGGAGAAATAAAAAGAAAACAAAGTGTAAAGAGGCCGTTAGAAAGGGCATGGGAAAGGCTGCAGAAAAATATAGAGATTTTCTCACAAGACAAAGGGCTGGGGCTGCGTATTAGATTATCTCTTGGGGAGGGTTTTGCTTGGTTGATAGTGGTGGGTTACTGTTACATGTTAGTATGTGCAAGTTAGGGGTTGGGGAATCTTTGGCATGCATGGGAAGGAAGGACAGGAAGTCTGGCTTGGATCAAGAAGTCTGACAAGGTGTCTTTTTGTGCTTTTCCACCACGTTGGGTCTCTGCCATGATGATTAGGCAGAACTGTGTGGGGAAAATGCTATCAGAGCCTAACTAGGGAATCCACTGGTGTATTAGAAAGAATACTATGTTAACTTGTTGGTCTTACTCAGTATTAGAATAGTTTCTGCAAGGGGAAGCTAACTCTTCAGTTGATAGGCACTATTCTGCAAGAATATGTCTTTCCTAGGATGTTGGGAGCCATTGAAGCTGGAAATTGACCACACATGCAGGGCTGCGGCACGTCTGGGACATGATTATCCCGAAAACCAAAAGCACCTGGTTCAGCCATGTGGAGAAATGAAAAACACAAAGCCTCTAGATAATCCACATAATGGTTTGGTAGGCAGTGGGACTGCAATTGAAATCATCCTTCCCAGTATATAAACATGCTACATTGGTTAAGGAGCACTTTTCCTCCAATCAGGAGGATAAGGACTCCACCTGACCCCATCTTTGTCTCTTCGTTAGTTTCTCATCTTCTCATGGTCCTTCCCTCCAAGAACCTCAAGGGTCACATGGGTCACAGCACCAGGAAGCCTGTAAGAGAACAGGAACCAACAGGTGGAAGTGGGTGGTCTAATTATCATTATTCCTGTTGCCTCTTTGGGTATTTTGTGTTGTGCAGCTCTATAGTTCTGTTCCCTAAAACTGGCATGTTATTGCCAGAAGATACAGTAGGGGTGTCTTTAAATCCTACACACACACTGTTAGTGCTTCGTGGTAGTACTAGATGGGGCAGACTAGTCACCACTGCCGCACTATTACAACTCACGTAAAACAAGTTAGTGATAATACTTTTCTCTATTGATGAGTCTATTGAGAATACTTAATAAGGGGAATATTACAGGTACTTCTCAGATTTTAAATATTTTTAGACATTCTGTTTCATACTGATCAGGGTTTTTTCCTTGATCAAAGTGGCATTTTCAATTTGTTAGTGGGCATGTAATTTTGACAGTTACCTCTTTCAAGACAAATGTACTGAACTTCTGCCATGGATGGAAAGGAAAAAGTACTCTTGCAGTTAAGGATTGCAAGGAAAACAATTATATAATTATATAAGGATACATAATTTATAGGATTATTTTATAATAGTTACCCAAAGAGTCAAACACAAAACGTGCAGGAAATCTGTCCACACTAAAGACCCCTAAGAATCCAGCCGTGGACCTGGATCCCAGGCAATGTCATGCATGAGTCCAGCTGAAGACCTTGAGTCTATGACAATGCCCCTCATGAATCCAACTGGAGGTCTAGAGCCTATGACAATATCTCTTGCAAATCTGTTTCATAGATCTGTGTTGGGAAGGCCCCAGAGTCAACAATGGAAGCTAGAAAGTCTGTGCCAATAGGCTGAGCACTACAGAGCACTGCATCCAGGAAGCAATGCTCAAAGTAAGAACCAGAGTCCCACCAAAAAGTACCACAGCCATCCTCAGTGACAATGAGGTCCCGAGCTCCTCTGATAACAGTTAAATTCAAATCGGGAAACCAGTATGACAAGCTTCTTGAGATTGAGCATCACACCATGTTCCTCTTTGGAGCCAGGTAGCTATGCTCAAAGTAAGAATGAGAGCTCCCACAAAGTGAATGGTAGCTTTTCTCAGTGACAACAAGGTCCCAAGCTCCTCTAATGATGAGAACAGCCAAGTCCATACCAGGAAAGGAGCTCAGTAAGCTCCTGGAGGACAACTCACAGCAACAGGAGAATCAACTGCATCAAACAACACTGAACTCTTCCTTTCCAGGTCTCCTTTTTTATGTTGCAACAGGCCTCAGCTGGGCCACCCACGCTCAGCACCACGCTGTTGAGTTTGGGTGGTATTACAAGTTGACCGCCAGTTGTTATCATGGGTACCATGGGTACTATTCAGTGACTCCCAGCACATAAACAAATCAATTCCAGCAAATGAACAAGGCTTCCCAGTGACACTATGCTGAATGACAGAGAAGAGGTTCATGCCTGTGCTGAATGAATGTTGGTTCTACTCCCTTTAGAGTCCCCAAACCTTGTCTAGCAAGTTTCCCCCAACAGCTGTGTGTTGTTGCTTGTTCTTCCCGTCTCTCTTTGTGTAGAACTATTACCCATCAGCTTTATAGTTCATTGCTATGAGAATTTGAGGAGCCACAGAATACCCAGAAACTTTCCTGTTTATCTAGTTTTAAGGAATAAAATACTTGACCCATGACTATTTAAATGGAAGCCTGACGATAGCACTGAATTACTAACATTTTATGAATATTTATTGACACACTTTCTTAAGCCTTTAGCTAAGTCAAAGGCCAGCAAAAACTCACCCTGATGTCACAATATCACCTCTATCCTTTTAATCATCTCAGAATTCTCCTAACAGGCTTTGTCCATATTAGATATGGAGTACTTACAGTCATTTCCAGTTGCTGTCACTCTGTACAAGTCCTATTCTGACATCAGTACATACACTGATGAGTATAAAAGGCAAAACATTTGAGAACATTAGTGTTTACTTATGTAAAGGATACAAAAGAATGTTAGCATATAGACAGGCAAATCAACAACATTATCCAGCAGTGGATAATGTAATCACAACATTACAACCACAATAGCACTAAACCTCACTAGCAGATGTGTGGTTGCAAAACTGCAAAGTATAATCAAGGGACGACTAAAATCATATCTCTCTTCTTCTAGCCCTAGTCATATCCTGAATATAGTCTAGTATAGAGGCTTACTAGAGATTATTTCACTAGGGTCAGGAAAATCTCAGTAGTTAGAGTTTGATAGTACAGACTAGAATATGGAGTTCTTTAAGGAAAGAACTAGAAGCTCATCTATTACTCCAAACTATCTAGTCTAGGACACTCTGTTGAAGTTTTTTCTTGAATTCAGTGCCATGAAAATAGAATAAATATAATTTAAATATAATAAATATAATTTCCCTGGAAATATAATTTTCCCTGGAGAGAGAACAGGAGAACGATTTTCAGAGAAGTAGTTTAAGGAAAAATGATGCCATATATAAAGCATACATAATTTATACATCTTCAGGATAGAAATAAGTCTACAGCAAAACTGTTCAAATCCGGCACTACTGACAACTTTGATTAGATAATTCTTTGTTATAGGAGAATGCTCTGTGTATCACAGGATATTTAGCAGCATTGTTGGCCTCTACTTATTAGGAAACAGAAATACCTCCCTGCTCATGACAATCAAGAATGTTACCAGCTATTGGTAAATGACCCTGGATGGGGGAGAATTGCTGCCACTTAAGGAGTTGCTCTTCTATAGTAATCATATTTCATCAAGTTGCCTGAAAAATACGTTGAAGGTTAGATACAAAAGATTATAATTGAGATATATGCAGATGTGAAAATTAGCATAGTATCATAAAGAATTTATAGTTGTAAATGTATTGAAGTATTCAGAAATTCAGTTGTTGTTAGTCCAAGGTTAAGCTATTTCAGGACATCAAGTTTCTCATTTTTAAAATGGAGGCAATAACAACTTCATAGAGTATTAAACAATCATGTGAAAGTGGTTTGGAAGCTATGAAATAGAACAGAAACATACTATAGAAACGCAAATGTGAGAGGATGGTTCAGGTTTTTTTTTGGGGGGGTGATTATTCTAATTTTGTCTCATTGTAGAATAGAATTTTAATATAATATTGTTACAACTAAATAGAATTAGTAAGTAGAGAGCTTATATCATTTGATGTGTTTTGGATTGCTAAGAATCTTATTCAATTCGTCAATTGGTTTTGGTAAATATTAACTGAAATTATTACCTCTATTAAGCATTCTGAAAAACTACAAATGAATAATTTAAAATATTTTATTTTATCATATAAATTTGGAAGCAGTCATACTGTAACCATACATAAATTTTTACCTTTATTATTCCTTGACAAATTTATAGCAAATCTTTAATGAAATACTGCACATGGAGTAGAAATAATAAATTTATTTTTGTAACAGGATATAAATTGTCTTCTAACAGGATATACTTAAATCATTCAAACAACATATATTATAAAGATAAATAAAACATTATCATATGGAAAATGTCAGCAGCACCAATAACGCTCTGATGGTAATAAGAAAAACAAATCAACCAGTATTCATTAAATGGTTGTTCTGAACTGGAATGGGCCTAAGCACCTTATATAGACAATATTATTTAATAGTTGAGAAACTTATTAACTCCTATAATAAATATTTAAAGCCCAGAGGGAGAACCAGATTTAGAAGATATGACTTACTCTTTTATTAGGATATCCTGGTGACATCTTAAGATAATTAGGTTAGTCAAATCATTTTTTAAAGTGATCCTATTATCCTACCTTTATCTATGTGTAGTATCTATGAGCATGTATTAGTATTTTATATTTAACACATATATTTTGTTTGCATTTGGTTTTTCAAATTTAAATTTGTTTTGAATAAATATAGTAAAGAGAATAAAAATATTGCAATAGTGGTTCATGTGTATTTTTCTTTTTTGCCTCTTGTGTAATATAATACACTTTTGGCTTATGATAATACTTCTTCTTCCTGCTCTACCTCTTTTTCCTCCTCTACCTCTTCTTCTTCTTCTTTCTCTTCTTCTTTCTCTTCCTCTTCCTTTACTTCTGCTTGCGATTCTTCAGGGGTAAATATCATCTGTTTTTCCAAGAAGATATTTGGAAAATGAGGCTGTACAATCAATACAATCAAGATACATAGCAGAAAACATACTGTTCTCACTAATAAAACAAACATGCACAGTGGGTCACACACAATTGGCCGGGGCACTTCCCAACGTGGATACCAAAATTGGTAATCTGTAAATAAAGAAGCAATTGAAAGCTATATTTCACATGAAAGTAGTTAAATTGTTCAAGAAATAAAGGACAATGATACATACATATGGCTTGGTCACGATCTGCATTACCTAGAAAGAAAAAGAAAGTCTATAAAGAATTATATAACATTTCTTCTTTCTGTATAATAAAGAATTTCTCCAATAATACTGTCACCATTCTCCTAATTTTCAGGCATCATTCTCTCATTTTTGATATCCCCTCCTCCAACTAATTCCCCCGTCAACTAGCCAATCATAAACTGAAAAATATTTTTTTTAATAAAAGCCAGCCTGGCATCCAAGAAAGTATGGAATTACACGAGTGGGGTGACATGGACTGTAGTGCCAATTCTGTGTCTACATCACTATGTCACCTTACTTATGTAAGCCACTTTACCTCTGCCTTCCAAAGATTGTTCCAGTTCTGACTATGCAGGATTTTATGTGTCCTGTTTTCATCGCTCATTCTCTCCTTAGATTGCTCCAGATTAATCTTATAAATGAACTCATTTTTCTCTTATTTTCAGAGGTTTTTCATTGCTCCTCATTTTTGAGATGACAAAGTTATCCCTATTGCTTGATCTTTAGTGTTTTTAGCTACCTAGCTCAATGCAATCATAATACTTTTCAGAAAATAAGTTGCCTTTCATCTGCTCACTGTGGGAGACTGGGTCAGACAACATTCCCAAATTCCACTAGGAAAGAGTAGAAGCATAAAATGAATCTGCAGGGCCTGGGGATTCAGTGGCATAAACGCCTGCCTTGCAAGCAGGCAGTCATGAGTTCGATCCCTGGTACCGATAAAAACAAAAAAGACCAAAAAAAAAAAAAAAAAAAAAAGAGTCTGCATAAATGTCAACCTGGGCTTTGCTTCAAAAATATATTGCCCCAAGGAGAAAATTTATAACTTATCCTTCAGGAATTTTGGAAATGAATTGATTTTCTAATGGAACTTTGAGGTTATTTTAGCATTTTGTTCTTGGTCTTTGAGTTACTGTGAGCTAAAGAAACCTTTTCTTCCTTAATTTTGGATGTCAGGTATTTTGTCTCAGCAATGAGAGAAAAGTAAACAATACAGAATTTGGTACCAGAGAAGTGGGGTCATTGCTGTGACCATACTTGATCATGTGGCTCAAGAGACTTTGGAAATGGCTTGTGGGAAGAGTTTGGAAAGTGTGGAGACGTTGCCTGAAAAAGCAGAGTTGGAACGCTTTAGGCTGTTCTGCACAGGAGATTCTGATCAGAGGTCAGAAGATCAGAAAACCAGTAAACTGGTCTCAGGAGGTTTCTGCTGGGAAGAAGTACTGCACTGAGTGCAGGAATCCAGATGATGTATGTTATGGCTTCACATAAGTGTCTTTATTTTGCTGATGTCTAGAAACTTTGTCTGAGATTAAGGGTGGCAGATTAATTAAATGGGCAGGGAAATTTTCAATGCAGTCAAATGATGAGCCAGCGGCACTGTTATTGTTGGGGCTTTTAGCAAGACTTATGTTGAGAATCAAAACCAAAAGGCCAGAAGAATGATTTAAAATGTGAACTTTGCCAGAATATAAAGCTCCAGTAAAGCTGAGGACTACAAAGAAAGAGCAGAGAGACTGTGATTGCTGAAAAGGAATAGGACAATAGGAAAGAGGGCTGCAGACTTCACAGAAAGCAGTAGGAATCTACCTTTTGCAGTTTCCAAATTGCAAGAGTGAAAGACTGCTTTGAGGAGAAAGTTGCAGAGCACTATGGTCCAGAATGGCAACAGCCCAGGGAATTTGCTCCTAAACTGGATTCAGCGTACTCAGTGCTCCAGGCACTTGACCCTTACAGCCAACAAAGAGGGGGCTCCTGCTCCAGCCGGCAGCAGACCTTGGTATCATCCGTGTGGCACTGGTTTTAGGTGTATGCAGAATGCAGCAGTCATGGGGTCCAGGTGGCTTTCATCTCAATTTCTGAAGGCCTGGAGGCCAGACAGTGAGCCTTAACAGGGCAATATGTGAAGCTGGGCATGTGAAGCCAAAGGTACAGTGGAAGCCTCAGAAGTGTGGGGAAGCTGGGAATGTGGATCATCTGAGGAAGCCTGCGAGGGAGCAGAGTGGGCCTGGGGAGAAGCCACAGGAGCTATAGCCTCAGGAAGGTGAAGTCATGCAAACCCTTTGGAGCTCATAACTTCCCACAGATTGCCTTGGAAATCGCCTGTGGAACTTCAGGACTTAATAAATACTTACTATTTACTGGGTTTCCTTTCCAAATAAAGTAACATTATGAAATATTTCAAAATTTAATTTTGAGGGTAGGGATATTATTCAATCCATTGCAAACTGCCTCTTCTGCTCATTGTGGAAAACTTTCTAGGAGTTTTCATTCCATTCTGTGAATTTTGTTGATTTGTCTTGGAAAAGGAATAGGTAGTTTTTTCTCAGTTTTTGCCACCTATTTTAAAATGTGCTTTATGAGCTTTGAAAATTTTCAGCCACAAAATGGAAAGATTTGGCCAAGAAACAGAAAATATAGAAAAGAATAAAATGAAAATTTTAAAAACAAAAAATTACAATGAAAACAGTTAAGAATAAAAAACCTGGGATGAGTCAATAGCAAACTAAAGATAACAAGAAGGAAAGATTTTTTGAACTTGGAGATAGACCAACAGATACGATTCAATAATGGAGTGGGGGTGGGATCATGAAGGTATTTAATGGGAAAAGAAAAGCAAGTGCCTCTCAGGAAGGATATGTAATAACATCTAGCAATCATGGCATGAAAAGTCTAATAAAGAGAATGAATGTGATGATGAAAAACTGTCTGAAGAAATAAAGGCTGAAAACATTCCAAGTTTGGTAAAAGACATAAACTTGCAGATACAAAAACCTGAGCATATATCCTGTAGAGTAAGTCCAAAAAAATCTACTCTCAGAAACATTAGAATCCAATTGTTGAAAATTTAATACAAAATAGAGACTTGCAATGAGCTGGAGGAAAATAACATCCCCTAATAAGCAACGAGGATTTAAATGACTATATATTTCTCATCAGAAACCACAGAAACTACAAAGTGGCACAATATTTTTGCAGAAAAGAATTTTATAGCTGGCAAAAATAGCTTTCAGGAATTAAAAAGAAATAAGACACTTTTTCAAATGAAGACACTCTAAGGAAGTTTACAGCTGGCAAACCTTCTGTGAAAGAATTGTTAAAGTATCTTCTTCACATAGAAAGTAAATGACAGTAAATAACCTTGTACTCTGTTCTACACCATGTGCTATGTCTATCCTTGGTTTTGACTGACAGCTTTGTTTTGCCATATTTGACTGTATTCTCTCCCCCCCAAAAAAGTAATAAGAACTAAGGAGTAATAAAATCCAAAATGTGTAAATTTTGTTGTAAAAAAGAGAGGGGGAAAAATAAGAGCTCTAATGGATATAACAGCAAGTGTGTTTAGGGGTGTTAAATAGCTGACTATATTAATGTTTTTGGATCATTGAACACAGCTGTTTGCAGTCTCTCTGTTTGAATGTCCACTTTGTATTCTTTGATACTGTGATTTGAGCAACTATTTCCAAGATGATAATATGTAATCTATTAACAGGTGATTTCTTACTGTTATTTTTTTTTTGTAGTTCTGTATTATGTGTACCCTTACACCGCTTTGTTTTGTGTTTTTCTCTTTTTCCTCTTAAATAAAATTAAAAAAAAAGAAAGTAAATGACAGCAAGAAGAAAGGTTGGAATATCAGGAATGAAGGAAAAGTCACAAAGAGATAAATATAAAAGGATATGTTTTCCTCAAATCTACTTGAAAGTTGAAAACAAAGTATATCATTGTTGGCATTTTGAATGTATAATATGTAAACAAATTTATGATATATACGGAGTGTAAAGTCTTATAGGAGAAAATGGTAATTATTGATTCTAAATAGTTTGAAAAGTTAAGTATATATGTTATTATCCCAAAAGCAGTTATTAAAATTATACAGAAATATGTCAAAGTCATAATAAATAAATTAAATTGAATATGAAAAAATGTTTGAGTAACCTGAATGAAGGCACAACAAGAGAAACAAAATATTGGAAAAAATAGCTATAAAATGAATCTTCAAATATATTACTTACTTTATTAACTGTAGATGGTTTAAACACATCAATAAAAACAGGTACTATCAGACTGCACTAAAAACATAACTAAATATTTTTTTTATAAGAAATTTACTTGAGGGCCAGAAATATATTTAGCTCAGTGGCACAGCCCCTGCCTGACAAACACAAAGTTGTGAGTTCAATTCTTGGTACAAAAATTTTTTTTCCTTGAAGTGTAATATAGGTCATTTAAAAGTAAGTAGAAGTGAACAGAGAGCTGAGGCAGGACAGGAAAAATAAACTGCGATGGAAGGAAAATTATCAATAACTTAATGAGGACTTGAATTACCTATTGATAAAATGGTCCATTCACCATGAAAGCATAATAATTTCAGTTGTGTGTGCATGGTACAGAATTTGAATTTACATGAAATAAAATGAAGAATTGAAAAAATTTACGATAGTTGGTAACTTCAACATCTTTCTCAAAAATTGATACAACTTGGTCCCATATTGAACTCGAGTTGGAAGAGGCGAGTCCGGTCTCAAAATGGAGGGCCATGATCCAAAGGAACCAGAGCAGTTGAGGAAACTGTTTATTGGTGGTCTGAGCTTTGAAACTACAGATGATAGTTTAAGAGAACATTTTGAGAAATGGGGCACACTCACAGATTGTGTGGTAATGAGAGATCCCCAAACAAAACGCTCCAGGGGCTTCGGTTTTGTGACTTACTCTTGTGTGGAAGAGGTGGATGCAGCAATGTGTGCTCGACCACACAAAGTTGATGGGCGTGTAGTGGAACCAAAGAGAGCTATTTCTAGAGAGGATTCAGTAAAGCCTGGTGCCCATCTAACAGTGAAGAAAATTTTTGTTGGTGGTATTAAAGAAGATACAGAAGAATATAATTTGAGAGACTACTTTGAAAAGTATGGCAAGATTGAAACCATAGAAGTTATGGAAGACAGGCAGAGTGGGAAAAAGAGAGGATTTGCTTTTGTAACTTTTGATGATCACGATACAGTTGATAAAATTGTTGTTCAGAAATACCACACTATTAATGGGCATAATTGTGAAGTGAAAAAGGCCCTTTCTAAACAAGAGATGCAGTCTGCTGGATCACAAAGAGGTCGTGGAGGTGGCTCTGGCAACTTTATGGGTCGTGGAGGAAACTTTGGAGGTGGTGGAGGGAATTTTGGCCATGGTGGAAACTTTGGTGGAAGAGGTGGCTATGGTGGTGGAGGTGGCAGCAGAGGTAGTTATGGAGGAGGTGATGGTGGATATAATGGATTTGGCGGTGATGGTAGGAACTATGGTGGTGGACCTGGTTACTGTAGTAGAGGAGGATACGGTGGAGGACCAGGATATGGAAACCAAGGTGGTGGATACGGTGGTGGTGGTGGAGGATATGATGGTTACAACGAAGGAGGCAATTTTGGTGGTGGTAACTATGGTGGTGGTGGGAACTATAATGATTTTGGAAATTACAGTGGACAACAGCAGTCAAATTATGGACCCATGAAGGGGGGCAGTTTTGGTGGCAGAAGCTCTGGCAGTCCTTATGGTGGTGGTTATGGATCTGGTGGTGGAAGTGGTGGATATGGTAGCAGAAGGTTTTAAAAAAAACAACAGAAAAGGGCTACAGTTCTTAGCAGGAGAGAGAGCGAGGAGTTGTCAGGAAAGCTGCAGGTTACTTTGAGACAGTCATCCCAAATGCATTAGAGGAACTGTAAAAATCTGCCACAGAAGGAACGATGATCCGTAGTCAGAAAAGTTACTGCAGCTTAAACAGGAAACCCTTCTGGTTCAGGACTGTCATAGCCACAGTTTGCAAAAAGTGCAGCTATTGATTAATGCAATGTAGTGTCAATTAGATGTACATTCCTGAGGTCTTTTATCTGTTGTAGCTTTGTCTTTTTCTTTCTTTTCATTACATCAGGTATATTGCCCTGTAAATTGTGGTAGTGGTACCAGGAATAAAAAATTAAGGAATTTTTAACTTTTCAAAAAAAAATTGATACTAAAATAAAATTGATATTAAAATAAAAGAATATAGAAGGACTCAATAGCACTAAAAATCGACAGCATCAAACTGACATTTTTAGGATACTACATCCAGCAATAGCAGAGTAGCACTCTTTTAAAGCATCTATGGATCCAGGCAAGGAGGTGTTCCCCGGTAATCTCAGCACTTTGGAGGCTGAGGCAGGAAGATCGTTGCAAGTTCCAGACCAGCCTGTGCTACAAAGTGAGCCCAAGACTAGCCTGAGTTGCATAGCGAGACCATGCTTCTAAAAGACAATAAAATAAAATAAAAGCATTGATGGAATATATACCAAGATAGCACACAGCTTATGCCCAAAACAAAGCAAAAAAAAAACAAAAAAAAAAAACCAAAGAACTTAAATTCATGTACATTGCTTTCTAACTATAATGGGATCAAACTAGAAATCAATAACAGAATCATTTTAAATAAAATAAATTAAATATGTAGGGATAACTGTAGCAAAATATGTATAAAATCTGAATTCTCAAACTACAATACATTGAAAAAAGAACTCAAAGGACAACCCAACAAGGGAAAAAGCAAATGGTTTAGAAACTGAAAAACAAGTCAGTGTTCATTATTCCCAAACTGATGAAGTTTTAATGAAATTTCCATCAAAATCCTAGCAACGGTCTATGCAGACATAAAGTTCTTTTTCTCTTATTTTTCTCCTACTGTTTTTCTCCATCCTCTTTGATTATTTTTTCCCACCAAGATTCCACCCTATATATGTTACTCTATGTGTCCTGAATTTAGTACTCTATTCTACTACTATGTGTCATATTCAGCTAAGTTTTTCTCCTTCAATATTCTTCATCCTATTTATATATTAATTATTTCAAAATGTAGCTCTTATCTCTTCCTTAACATTCTGAGTCTTAGATTTCAAACAGATCTCTTTTGGTAGTAAAGAACAAAACTGAATTTTCATACTTTCTATAGCTTCCTTTCTTTATATTTGCTCATTAACTCAATAAATTGTACTGTTCATAACCCAAATCTGATATTTTACACTTTTCTCATCACCAGATCAGACTTTCCAAGATTTGCTTATTTTGCCTTATAAATATTAACCAAAGCTTTTCATTATCTTAATTTTGCTTATGAATACTGCAGTAGGAGCCTCTTTTCTCTCCTGAACTACAACAAAAATATCTGAAGTTAAAAAACTTTAATTTAAAAGAATCCATAATTTATATAAAAAGTTTCAGTGTAGTACAAACAATTTTTATTTTGAACCATTTGAATACAAGGTGGCAACCTGGTCTAATCATCCCACTTTACTGTATTTTTCTTATAAACAAAGACATTATTCTACAGAACCAAAACATAATCATCAAAACTAGGATATTAAGAATTACATTACTACAATCTAACCTTCAAGCCCTATTACCATTTTTGCTACTTGTACTAATGTCCTTAACAGCAAAAAGAATCTGGCAGAATCACGGCATTGCATTTAGTTTTCATGTTTTAGTTTTCGTTATTCTTTGAGTTTAATGGTCATCAGATTTTAAAAACAAACCAGTTTTTTGTTTGTTTGTTTTGTGTTGGTGTCGGGGATCAAACTCACGATCTTGCACTTGCCAGGCAGGTGCTTATGCCACTCAACTAAATCCCCAGCCCCTTAAACCAGTTCCTTTGTAAGCAAATCTTCAACACTTATGTGACTCCCTCTTGTATTTCAATTAAGTTTTGCATCTTTGCCAAGTATGCTACAAAAATGATGTTCTTCTCACTGCATCTTTTCAGTTGTATGGTTTTCACTTTGGTCACTAAAGAAGGGTAGCGTTACACAGGCTGCTCCATTCTGAAGTTTCTCTTTCCTTCACAGAAATTACGTGGAGTTACTTTAAATCTAGGTAAATGTATTATTTTTCATCAAACTGTTCCTTTATTCACTTACTAACTTACATCAATATGAAATCACAGTATTCTATCTTATTCGATGGGCTATAACTGATTAATATTATTTTAGTATTCAAGTTATCTCATTTGATAGGAGTGAAGAACCAATCTATGCCCCTTTTATTTTATGTTCCTATCATTCTTTTTTTTGTCTTTTTTTCATTTTTATCGGTACTAGGGATCGAACTCACGATCGCCTGCTTGCAAGGCAGGTGCTTATGCCGCTGAGCTAAATCCCCAGCCCCATTTTTTTTTTTTTTTTTGGTACTGGGGATTGAACTCACGACCTTGTGCTTGCCAGGCAGGCACTTAGGCTGCTGAGTTAAATCCCCGCCCCGTTCCTATCATTCTTTAGCACTTCCTTCTATAAAAAGATGTTCTGGACTCACCTTGTATTTCCCCTGCCTGAGCCCTGCAATCCAAGCTTTTCTCCAGTGAGCTGTTTCCTTTTTATTGCACGCTAGAATTAGAAACTTAGATCTCAGTTCTACTTATGCTTGCTGTTTTGTGGGTTACCTGTCTAAGTCACACTCAGAAATAGAAATATATGTAGATTTAGATTTACTGATGTCATTAATTTCCAGTGCCTCTAATTCCAATTCATCACCCAAAGATTCATGCTTTTCTTTCAATATATTTTTGCACTTTATTTGTGAGAAAATTAGCCCCATTATCTGTAAATTATTTAATCAATCTCCCAGTATGTTTCTAATCTCCCATTACTGCTTGCACCTTCTTCCCCATATAGGTGTTCTCACACTGCCAGGGGTCAGAAAACCCACACAGGGGCTGAGGTGTGGCCACATGTAGAAAACAAAAATAGAAGATATCCAGATAAATTTGAATTTAAAAATGACTCCTTTTTTTAGTATAAGTATTTTTCATGTAACATTTGATATACACTCACACTAAAAGTGCCACTGTTTTTCTAATGTTTGAATTTGACCAAGTGTCCTGTGTCTAAGCAACTACTGGCCCTCTACTTGAAATCCTCTCACTTTGCTCAGACTTTGAAATGCAATTCTGGGCTTCTTCAGTGTGTCTTAGTTTGGGCCCTAACCCCTAAAATGAGCTTGCCATTACACATGGATGTTTCTATTACTTGCTTCAGTTCTGATATTTTTGCCAGGGCACCCTGACATGTGATTCCTCTCAGTATTCTGCTGTAGCTCCAACAGCCAGAGCCAGACCACTCCACAATGAGTGCCTTTCTCATCTACTCACACCCTGATACCCTACAGCAGGCTGCTCCCTCTGAACCTCTCCTCACCCTGCATGAGCACGGATATATGTCAAGCCGTGCTTGAATGGACATCCCTTCATCCTGCTTTGGCTCTAATATCCCACACAAGTCTCACCTCAGGTGTGGATAACTGCTTTTCTCCATGAAGGCTCTGACTTTACACCAAGTCATAACTCCATGTGGAGACCATTCTCATCTTGCTTAGGGTATTGGTCTCCTCATGCCCACAGCACTTCCTGTGGATCCCCTGCCATCCAGTTTAAATGCTTAATATATCAATCTGGCTGCCCCTCTGTATAGATACCTACCTGATAATGACCCTTGCTAATGGCCAAAGGATGGAACTTTTACAAAAGAGAAGGAAAAGAAGAGAGAAAGAGCAAGACTTTGCATCTTGATTCAAGTGAACTGAAGGCAGAAATGTTAGGGTGGGTTCACCTCTATAGTGTTTTTTACACCGAAACTGTTTTTTGTTTGTTTGTTTGTTTGTTTTAAGCACAAAAACATAATATGGTCTAAATTCAGTCCCTATGACATTCTTCTAAGCATTGTATGTTTCAGCTATAATGTATGTTCTGGAACATACGGGGTTACATTTGGAAAAACTAAAAGAAAATTTTAATCAAACATTTGATTTACATTTTGTGCTCTGAAAATTCAGGAAATTTTAAGTTTTTAGGGAGGGAACAATGAGAAAAAGCTGTTTAATACATGCATCTGACATTTTTTATTTTAAAATATTTTGTAATATTCTTTTTGACATAGTCATTGTCAAGCTGTTTGCTGCTTCAGAAATTAGTTTTAAAGCTTTTTCAATATTAGCTGTTAGTTTTTATTATTTCTGACATTCTGGTGTGTCTTTAGGGGAAAAATATGATCAAGGGAAAACAGAAAAGGCTGTGTAATTTTAGGAAAATCTAGGTGGAAGTGTTTTAATCTTTCAATAAAACAGTAATAGCCTTAGGGTGAGAGAAACAATATTAAGAGCACAATGAAAAGCTAGTGTTCAGTCATTTTACTTTTCCTTTTGTTCTATGCTTTATGAACTCTTTTCCTTTCTAAGTTATCTTACTGCATAGAAGATCTGTGCATCTGTCTCGTCCATCACACTGGGTACAAAATATTCCTGCACGATAAGGTCTTCTGCTCAGAGCTCCTCTACAAAAAAGCAGACAACAGGAAAAGACTCAATTTTTATATTTTATGTAAAAATATAATTACCAATTTGAACTAGTATTGAAAGATTTTTTAAATGAAGAAAATGAACTCAAAGAAATACACAAAAATGCAGTCTTTCCTTTCTCCCCACCCCAGAAAACTGTCTCTTCTTTTTTTTAAATTTTATTTAAGGAGAAAAAAAAAAGCAGAGAAAGGGTACAAGTTATACAGATTTACAGAAAAAAATAAACAGTAGGAAATCACTAGTTAATGGATTACATATTGTCATCTCAGAAATAATTGTTCAAGTCACAAAATTAAAGCTTGTAAAGTGGACATTCCAACAATGATACTGCAAACAGTTCTGTTCAATGATCCAATAAAACTCAGTGATATCGTTTTCTATCTTATACACTTAAATATACATGCAGTTATATAGTTTAGAGCACTTTCTTTTCCTCTCTTTTGTACAATGACTATTACACATTTTGGGTTTCATTGCTCCCACAGTTCTTATTACTTTTTTGGAAGGGAGTAAAACCAAATGTGACATAACAGAACAGAGTCAATCAAATCAAAAGGGTGGACATAATAGATAATGTAAAAGCATAATACAAGGTGATCAATAATGGTTACCATAATGCCTCCCGCTATCTCTAATAGAATTGCCTATATCATCAGTTAAAATAAAATTGAACAAAACAGTAAAGAACAAAACCGACAAAACCAAAACATTGGAGACATTGTAGGTCTTCAAAAGTAGATAAAAGTCATCGAGAATGGGCATCATAATGAATCACACTATCTTCACAGCTGTTGCCTAAACTTTCTAACCTGGTACTATCAAGCAAAACAGAATGGGGGGACATCAGTCAAAAACAAGATGGTGACAGTAATACAGGGCTTTAAATCAAGATAATGGAAAGTCAAAGTGGGTTACTATAATATATCCTGCCATTTTTATTTATTTTTCCCTTAATTAAAAGGCTAAAAATAAAAAAGTAAATAATGGAGTGGAGATTGAGATAAAAGAGGGCATAACAGCGAAACAGCGCAGATCAAAACATAACCATTTAAGCAGAATAGTGTTTCACCACAAGATAATCCTGACATAAAAGTAGTTACCATATTGTCTCTTTCCTTGAAATCCTTGAGTACAACTTCGTATACTGTAGCATTAAATATATCAAAACAATGTAAAACCATTTAAGAGAATGACAGCATTACAGGGTATTTAGAATCAACTAACAGAAAATGAACAATGGTTTCTGTATAATCTCCTTGTCTTTAAAAGTTTTTGCTTATACTATCGTACATAATAAAATCTGATAAGATACAACCTATTTAGACCAATGGAGACAGAAGAACAAAAGCTTGATGAGACTTCAAAACAAGATGATACTAAATCAGTATTACCCATTAAGACGTCATTTTCTCCAAAATAGCTGTTCCTATCATCCAATCTTCTCTGCCTCATTTCTGTTGAGCTCTTTTTCTGTCATTAGTTGTCAGTTTGTCTTCTTCATTTTGTTCTCTGCTCCATTCATTGTGGCCTCCCTGCCACTATTTCTGGATTCTTTGTATTTTTCTTTTTTTAGAATATCCCGCAATACTCTCTGTAGAGTTGAATTGGTGGTTGCAAATTCCCCCAGTTCCTCTTTATCCTGGAAGCACCTTGTTTTTCCATCAATTTCCAGGGACAGTTGTGCAGGATATCTCAATCTTGGCTGGAGATTATTATCCTTCAAAGCTTGAATTATTTCCCCGCACGCTCTTCGTGATTTGATGGTTTGTGCAGAGAAATCTGCTGTAATTCTGATGGGTGTTCCCTTGTAAGTGATCTGTTTCTTGTCTCTGACGGCTTTTAATATTCTGTTCTTGTATTGGATTTCTGGAATTTTAATTATTATATGCCTGGGTGTTGCTCTGTTTGGGTTGTAGGTGGCTGGGGTCCTGTATGCCTCATACATCTGAGTATCTTTACCTTTTGCTAAATTAGGAAAATTCTGGATTATTTCTGTGAGTAGCTTTTGTAGTTCATTTGTTTGTGTCCCTACTTCTTTTACGTTCTTAATTCTTAAGTTATGGCTCCTCTTATCATCTTCTTGTCTTTGTATTATTGCTGTTTGTTTCTTTGTTACTTTTAAGAAGTTTTTCATTTCATTCTCCCATATTACAAATCTGCCCTCCAGTTCAGATAGTCTGTCCTTAGTTTCTTTCAAGCTGTTATGCCAAATTGTCTCTTCTTGAAACTTCTTACTCTTATGTCATTGAAACAGTGTTGTGCTTTAAATATAAAAGTGAACTTTAATGTTTGTTTTGTATTTTTCAGAAAAATATGTCCTTTAAAATCGATATAGAAGGTTTTATAATTAATTGCTTTCCAATTGGCACAAATGTAAAAAAAAAAACTCTACATATAAAACGCATGTTAATTATTTGAAGACTTTACAAAATTCAGAAATGCTTATTGTGGAATCTACATGACAAAATATTTACATATAAAAACAAACAAATGAATATAAATAGGATTTTATGAAGTTGATTTAATCCATTATACAGAGCTGAAGAAAAAAGTGAGAAATTATTGCATCAATTGCCCAGAGCTAATTAAGGTAAAAAGGTTCCAAAGTAGATACAAATTGGAAAATTTATATTAAAACTAGCATGAGAAAGAGAAGAGTTTAGGGAGAAGATATTTCTGAGTGGAAGAGTTAGTTTGGTCATTTAAATAAGATTACTTATTTACCAACTAGACAAGTAGAAGTTATAAAAATAATAATTAAATACATTAGTTTCTGGTTAGCCACTGTATCTAGAAGAATGGGAAAATCTGAGAAATATATATTTGAGTCTAAATATCATTTTTATTAACCGTATCATATTTAATCAAGAGGCTTAAAGGGGTTAGGTGATAGCCAATAAACTGAAAGCATTTATATTTGTCAGGGACATCTGTAGGTTGTTATTATTGGTATGTCTTATATAGCCTCTTTATTTTTTTTAAAGAAAAAAAAACAGATTAAAAGGGTAGAAACAATACAGAATTTCAGAAAAATAAACAGTAAGAAATCACCAGTCAATAAGTTACATACCGTCATCTTAGAAATAGTGGCTTGAGTTATAAAATTAAAGCATACAAAGTGATATTCAAACAATGACACTGCAAACAGTTCTGCTCAACGACCCAACAAAAACTTAGTAATATGGTTATTAGTCCTACACACTTGTTTTTTATCTTAAAGAAGGTAAGATTGAACATAACAAAACAGAAAAATACAGTTTATAAGGGAACAATTTAAAGAAACATAGATTTCAAAGCAAGTCCACTGGAGCTCTTCACTGTCTATCTTATTTTCTCTAGTTTTCTTCCAAATAGTTGTCCCCATCTTCTCACACATATTGAATATATCCTGAACATTAGAGAACTAATCAAATCATTATAGGATTGTGAAGGATTTTTAGGTCTTCAAGACCTGACATGGGGGAAGTCAATAATGTCTACCATAATGTTTCTCAGTCTCTTTGTAGTAGGTATCTTTATCTTTACATATGCTGAAATTGAACATGAGACTAGACTAATATCACTCTGAACAGTGAATGATAGTATTACTAGATTTCATATCATAATGCTACAGAATTAGCACTGGGTTGCTTAGTGTCTCTTCTTCAGAGCATCCATTCATTACATCGTGTATTATATAATCTGTTCCCATAAATAGTTTAGAAATTCTTCCCATGTGTGAATATTTACATGTATATCTATCCTTTCTGTATTATAGGGTAAAATAGATCAAAACAAGACAAAAAAATAAATTCCTAGAAAAACATGAAATGAAAAAGACATATAGGACAACAATATTAGATGATCTACAGTAGTTATTATGCTTTCTCTTGTTATTTTCAATAGAATTTTCCACATCATCAGGCATGATATAATTGAACAGAACATTACATAGCTATTTTATTAAAAACACAACTTTGAAGATATTATAGGAGTGGAAAGCAGTTAATAATCAAAACCAAATGGATATCTTTTATGTCTTGTCATCTTCAGAGTAGCTGTCTCCACTCCCAGATTTGATACTATCTAGGATACCGTATTTGAATGAAATCAGTCAGGCTAAACAGTGGTCTAATAAATCAACTTCAAATAAGATCAGTCATGGTAAGACAATGTAAGTAATATAGGGTTTTAGTGTAAGTTAGTAGAAAATTCAGGATAGTTACCATGATATAACCTGCTATTTTTGGGTTAGCTGTCTGTGCCCTCAAATCTAATGAGTAGATAGACTGGAACAAAATATAATCAAACTAAACAGAGCAATAAGACTACTGTGACTTTTAAATCCTGATACACTCTTAACAATGTCCTCTGCCTTCCTTTTTTACACAATTGTTCCTTTTTCTCTTTCTCAGGGTGCTTTGTGTATTTTGGGTCCCACTAGCTCTTTTAGTTTTTAGATTAGGGGGCCAACCCGTTATCTATCTGAGTGTTGCTAAACCTTTTTATCCCTGAGCTTGATTTGAGCTGTACTCCTTTACTTCCTAAAGCCACAAGGTTGTTCTTCCTTTCAGCTGTGTAGTTCTATACTGCCCAAAAGTGTCATAGCTTTACAGTCTACCTGAGGCTGCTGGACAAGTTGTCCCTATTTCTCTCTGGTTTCCTGTCACATATAGCATTGTTTTCTCATCTTTGACTCTCAGTTTATTAACCCTCTTTCAGGTTAAGTGTATCTCCTATTCAGAGCATCTCGATGGATCCTGCCTCTTAATCTACTCTGCCTGTGTTTCTTTTTTGTGTTTGTGTATCAGGGCTATCTATATTAAAGATTACAGTTTACCGTCTCTGCCTCATTTCTGCTATTTTATTCTTTTGTCATTATTTGTCCACTTTACTCCTTCATTCCACTGTCTGCCCCATTCACTGAGGCCTCTTTGTCACTGTTGCTGGAATCCTGGTATTTTTTCCCTCTCTCTCTCTGGAATGTCCTTCAGTA